GGGGGGGAGGTATTAATGTGGGAGAGACCGGAGAAAACCCAGTGACATAGTTGCCGTTTTCGTGTTAAGTTCTTCCAACACTTTTGTCCTGGCTGCATGCGTAGGTCACACATAACCATACTATTTCGTATTTTAGCCAAGCTCTCTCTTTAGCCTTAACCATCCCCGCTCAATTTGCAGATCGACAGCGAAACGATTTTTTTTTTACATTTGGGGCGTGAATACATAACAGTGACCTAATACTACCACAACCATTTCACAATAAAAGACGTTTCCAAACTCTGGATACAGCACATTGACGTCATTAACTTTTCAAGTTAACCTTCAAAAAACATTCCATATTTGCTAAAAAGCTCATGATAATTATGAGGTTTATATCGCATTCTGTTAAAGTTTCATCTGGATTATATACTAGAAAAGAATACGCAGTGATGCTGATCTAGGTTCTTTGGACAAACCACTGAAAACGGTTAATTTCGTTTGGTCACAAATGAAAATTACAGCGAGACCTGTCGAAGAGAAGCGGCCCACACTTTGATGTATATATATATCGATTGAAAATGAGATTGGAAAAACGATTGAGAAAGAATTAAACTGGCAAACCCAGATCTCCAGACTGTTTTAAGCAGAGTAGATTTGATTAGTATAGTGTTAGATGTTAGATGAAGATAATTGGTAAACTTGAATTTTCCATTTCTTGATAGCAACATGGATATCTCTGCTTCCTCAATTTACGGTATTTACACATAGCGATCAATTCGATACTCACAGACTTGCTTGGAATATCAAATCTTCGAGGTATATATATATCAAAATTAATTCTAACAAACAGACACACATACAACATTGATTTTAGAAATATGCAGATTGACGAAAATTATAAAGAAGTCGTATTGTCGCCATCGTGATCTAATTTAGCTGCGGGAATCGAACGTCGCTTCTAGGCTCGATCGGTTTTTTTGAAGTATGGTCCGATAATAAAAATAATAACGATCGGGCCTAGAAGCTACGGTTCCCGCAGCTAGATTTCGAGAAATATTATATTTCTTTGTGCATTGCAGTTCCGTCGCCAAATCTGTTGCCTCTCCATAGCTACTAGTTAAAATGAAACTAAGCTCCGTACGACCAAGGAATATAAATGAACTTCAGTTAATGTCATTTCGTGGCATTCATTTAGATCGCAACAGAGATTGGCATGTTATATAATCCAGGTGAAGTATTTGTCAATTGACTGTGTAACGTCACTGTGTACATTGTACCATTTAAATAACTTAAGTTCAAGTTCAATATATCCAAATAACATTTCTGTATTTCGATGTTCTATTGGTATTCATTGAATATAGCATTTCAGGGGGTGGAAATTTGGGATGCTCCATTTTTTGGGAGCTTATTGAACCTTAAAGGATTGCAAGCCAAGATTACGTCGACTTATGACTGAAGTTAGAATGAACTGTTCACATCGGGAACAGGTCGGTCATGCCTCGGTCTAACATGTTATTAGCTAGCTTCCAACATACTGAAATATCAAATTATACACATTTTGTTTTGGTGTTCGTCCTTTTCTCGAAAATAAGACAATACTTGTGGCCTGTACAGTATATTATGTATTTATTCCCAATGTTGTAGGAAACACGCTTTTGTTTCGTTTCCTAAGATTAAATCATGTTGTTCGAGGGCAACGTTTTTATCACCTCTTTAGAACTTTTTAATTGTTGGAATTGATTTTTGCTTGATGTATATACACATGTACATACCACGGGCTTCGATCTACTTCCGTGAATCTACTGTAATGTAAAAGAAATCCGCACTTAAATTATACCCTCTTGAACTTGAAATCAAATACACTACAGACTCTTCTGCTTCTACCACTCCTTGATCGTACCAATCAGGACGAATTACTACCAAGCGGTACGATTTCGATTTTTCTATTGTGTTTGTGGGCCAAGTGGTTATGGCGTCTATCACTATCGATTCGCTGATTGAAATGCATTATGTAGTGATCACTATCCAAGAACGCTTCGGTCATATTTTGATTTTGCAAACTTAAATTTCGGGCAGCCAATGGTCGAATTTCCTCGTCAAATTCAAATTTATGTATTTGTTTGTGACATAAAATGAAGAGTCGCTGGGGAGATACTTTTAAACAAAAATGTGAGGAGCGGCCAGATGGATTGCTCAGATGATGTATCCTTATCAAACACAAATAGTCCTGTCTGAACACTTTATATAAACATTTCTAGTGTGTATCCAATATTAACCTTAGCTGTTAATAGAACGTTAAACAAAATTAAACCAAACCAAACTGATACAAACAATAATGTGTTTTCGGTATTTAAGTAAACAAACCTTCATTCGCAGCCTTTCGTTTTCAGGTTTACTTTCAGTTTTGACTCTCGCACGCCCCTTCCTGGCTCTCCCTTGCCAACAGCACTGTTAGCTGTGGAGAGTGTACATGAAAGGTCAGGGGCACCTGTTTATCAGACACCATTACCAGGAGTCGGTATGTCAGGTGGTCAGGGGCACAATATCACTTAGTTAATAATTTTTTGTATCTATTTTTTATAAATTGTTGGTGGTTGGGTGGTGTAAGATCGTGATCAATAATAACTCCAGTTATTCACCACGACAGGTAAAAATGAAAGGTCTGACAAAGGCACAAAGGAAAGTCTTCCAAATAGTTCTGTTGTTTTCTTTTTGGTATCAAATTCAAAGGACTTTTACAAACCTATCTAAACCTGTAGTGAATGATAAAACATGATATAAGGATTACAGTGTTCACAAAATGTATACTTCGTATACACTTATAGAATATATTTATTCCACTTCATCAGTCACAATATGTAATGTACTTTATTATAAGTATATGTATAATCATCAAGTCTCAGGGAAGCAAGTAATGACATGTACAATCATAAAATCAAAGAAAAACATGTTATGACATAAATATGAAATTTAAGAAATATTTGTTACAGTACATATATACTGCTTACACTCTACACGTTCTTGAGATAATTCTTCCTTGCTGATATTTTCAAATATTTTTTTTACGACGTAATAATGTACACAAGGGTACATATTACAATTATTGCTATAGGTACTGGTGATGGGGGTTAATCTAGAAATAAACAAATAATAAAATTACCACTTGTTTTTGTATAGTACAAGAATGTTTCTATTTCAAAAGAACATCAAGAGACCAGGGGCCTAAAACAGACGCCTGATGAGTTATTTAATGGGTTTGTTGTTGTTGTTGTCCTATGTCTTTGTTGCTGTTGTTGGAATATAAAATGGATATAAAACATTGTGAAATCTTATTGTTGAAGTGAATAATTCTGTTTACAAAGCCAGATGGTAAATGTAATGGCAACTTTGGAATCGCTGAGAAAATACGTTGGATTTTTAATGTTATGTAGCCTACAATATATCTCGCAAATACCATTCAATTTCAATTAGAGAAATTATTATTTTTGTAACTTTCTCTTATATAGTCAATTTAGTAGTGTTTTATTGTTTCCAGTTCGTAGGCGATATTTTTATGTCAGTGTGAAATGGCTTCACTTCACCTGAATTTCACCTAAATCATAATATCATGTCTTACACTATATTCTCCCAAACCAAGAATGCAGAAAAAAGCAAAAGCCAGATTTTGTTTCAGATATGAGTTGTGGGATAAATGAGGTATTTAACGCATCAGAACTGATAATTTATCCTCATGAATGTATTCTTCAATACATCAGTAATCTACTCAGAATCGACTCACACTATAGGAAATAAATAATAATGTCTACATATATATCATGTGTACAACTCAACATAATAAAATCTGCTGTAAAGCCATGTATAAAAGCACCCAGTACAGTATGTTTATCTTGATGAACTATTTTACCCATTCAAATTAAATTTATATATGTATACAATGCCTCGTCTTACGACATTAATACTTAGAATTAGCTCAGGTATCATCCTGGTAGTTGAAAACGGGCAAATTCACACTATGCTACAAATGTATGTAACATCAAACTAACACGTACAATGTTTTTGTACTGTACACGTACCAGGGTATTGTTCTGTATACAGACAATACTATTAACATATAATTAGATGTCTACACATATCACAAGCTAACACTGCTGATTACAAAGTTTGTCTGTGTCAATTTCATATCTAAAGATATTGTACTTTATATAATTTAAATTTTTAATATTTCTATTTATTACAATAAATTTAACAGTGTGAATTAATAAGTGTCTTCTATGTTTTCTCAGTAAACAATGTGGAACAAAAAGAAACTAGTACAAAAATTGACCAACAGACAGGACTACAGTGTATGACAAGGTACCTATGTCATTGTTTGAGACATTACATATGAAAATAAGTAACAGGAAAATTGACACACATATTTGTGGCCAGGGTTTTTGTTAGCTATTTTAGTAAAGGGCCCCTGAGCAGGAATTGGGGAAAATATCATCGGCATTTGGCAAAAATTGGGAAATATCATCAGTGTTCCCACATGTACAGGTTTGGGAAAATAAAACCTGCAATGTAATTTGCAAAAACTTTTCTTCTGTCTGTTTCTTACAGTAAAATGTATAGATATAAATAAATCCATCAATTTTCATTGTTTTCAATTTTTCAATTTTTGTTATGTATTTTGAATGCTCCTTCATGGATGGTAATACTTAAAATGTTGCACATGTAACGACTGGAAACTTGTGTAATCATACCTTTTAATCCAACAGGGAAAATAAAGACTGAAATTGGGAAAATGCAGGGTCATTTTCAATCGGGAATTGTCCCTGTACTGGACCCTATAAACACCTGGCAAAACACCTGAATACAGTTGTATTTCTTGGGTTCAGCTAATTAATGCCTGTAATAATCTTTGAATATGAAGTAGATATGTACAAAGTATGTCTATTAATTAAATCATCTTCAAGCTGACCATGCTTTCAACACTGGGAAAATATTCATTCCGCACTTGGTACCTGGATTTTAGACAATTATAAGCAGAGAACTGTGAACACAGGAGTATTGTCTGATACCATTTATCCACTCAAGAATCAACGAACCTCGGAGCCAACCTGGTTATGTGTGATATAATTTTGACTTCCTTGTTCCAGCACAATACACATAGGAATAAAACACTGTTCAGTCGTCCTGATAGGCCACCTGGTAACATACATTTTTTGTATACACAGCTTGTCATACAACACTTCCTGCCTCTTCAACAATACAAATTTACTTTCAAAAATTTTCAGTCTTCATCTGAGTCATCAAGCACTCTTCTTTTAAACTGAAACAAAATCAACGATATTTTTATGGGGATACTGTTAAATTTACAAAGTGTCTCTATCTTCTACAACAAAAGTATTAATCATATTCTATCGTATCCTTTTCAGTTAGGTGTATTTATAATACAAAAGGCTCAAGGGGCCTGTATCATTCACATCTAACTGAATGATGTTGGAAAATATATTTCAACCCAAAATAACGATACCCATCAACAATTTGGCAAACATTTGAACAGCACTGAGATTAAACAGCCCTTCCACAGGCCAAATATCATAACTCTTGCATTGTGAATGTTTTGAAGACATTTTTTTTAATTGAGGAGTTGCTGAATTATATTATACAATGTACCGTCACAGACAGTCACACACACACTGAGAGCACAACACATTGACAAAATGATTATTATATACACAGGTACACAACCCTCGCCCCAACTAGGTGAAATTTTGAATTATTGGTTATAAATTTGAACTGAAGAGGTGTAAGTGTTGGTTAAATCTCAAAACTGGAAAGGCAGGGTTCGAACTTTACTCTTATTTACACGCGATTTGCGTCAGGATTTTGAGATTTGCGTTTTAATATGGGTTCCAAAATGAAAATACTTGCGTCTGGTATTTTACTGCAGCATGTGTGTATAAATTGTGTCAATATTTCCGGATCATCGATCTATTTGTAACAAGTGCCGGTCTATGGTCAGGACCCGTCGATGTGCCAATCAAAACATAATCTGTAAGTTGTACACATGTGTGCGTGTCTAAATATAGCACAAGTACTAAGTCTCGTTTAGTCTCGGCAATAACGAGAGTGTCGTTCGGAACATATATATGTGCAGACAGCGTCAAATGTCAAAGCTCAAACGATGATTACGGGGTTTTTTAAAAGAAAATTGGAACCTGACGGCACTGAAGGCACTAAAAAAGTGCATACACTAACAGAACCACCGGCGAAGACTGAAGCTCAGCCTCTCGTACAAATAAAAACAGTACAGAAATGGCAGCGTGACCTACATGACATAGGCTACATTGCCGACAAGGATAACAACACTGTCAAAATATGGTGTGAGGTGTGCTGGGATTTCCCCAAACAGTCGAATATTTTGCTTCTTGATTTGTCAATTTGCTTGTGGATTTAAAAATTAAATTCAATCCTTGAAAGGTAAAAGATGAGTTACAGAGAGCAACGCTAGAGGTTCTTGGGGAGGAGAAATAACTGGATAGAAGATATTATTTTATACTACAGATGATTTACAATACCTTCACTGTTGTCTTTTTTTGTGTCTGCTCACTGACCCTCTCCAGTAATCCTTTCAGCTGGTCCTCCCCTATCTGATAATGAAAATTATCTTGCACATGTACAATTTTACACACATTATTTCTCATGTAAAATGAGTATATATACATTATGCATGAACAGTTAAGCAATTAAAAGTAAAAACAATTTGTGTACATGTACAGCGTATTAACTCATGCTAACGATTGTGAGTTACATTCCTATTCCTACTCACAAAGTTGTGTCTATACCTACATTAGGAATACATCGTATTGATATGTATAGACGCACTAGACCAGGAATTACAGTATTGTGGATCCTGGTCTAGTGCGTCTATACATATCAATACGATGGCCACCATATTGATATGCATAGACGCTCTAGTCCAGGATCCACAATACAAAGTTATGTGGACCTGGTCGAGTCCCAACAAATTGGTCCAAAACATTTGTTTTTATATCCAGTTCCTCGACATGGTTTTATCATGCAAAATGTATTTTTACACAAGAATTCAGTTAACTAAGATTTCAAAAACTTGGTGTTAAATTTGTGGTAACAGAAGAGAGCTTACCTTGCTTTGGAGCTGACCACTCTTAGCCATCTGTATCAGCATATTTTCTACCATTTTTGCTTTTTCAGGTTTGGTCATCGCTATGGTGTTTACTACAACATATTTATTTAAAGTCGAATGGAGGTTTTAGACTTGAACAAACTTAACCAACATAAGTATTACAGGATTGTCTCCCTTAGATTTTACTGCTTGTACATTATGTGTACACCCATAACTTGTCAACATCTATTATTGTGGACAAATATAAGTGACAGACCTGCATCTATAATATCATATAATGCATAGTTATAAATGTATATTAACATGCAAATATATTTTCTCACAGATTTTGTTTTAAAAATTCTTAATTCAAATTATACAAATCTTAATTATTGTGAAAACACAATATTACTGTATAGAAAGTAATTGAAGTCAAAAGAAAGTCATAGTATAGTATGTATCGAATGCAATATATAGAGATTTTGGTACAGTGTATATAAATTAAGGCAAAAACTGCACCCGATTCCTCTTACTGATTATATTTGTTGAAGTGCTGAAGAGTTATTTCCCTTTGATTGGATATTATATATCTAGGTCACTGTTGACTGAACACAAGTTTAAGTATACTTAAACTAAATTAAAAACAGAGAGCAATAAGATCTAGGCTGCTTTAATTTATTCAGGATAGAGGAATCGTCCATTTTCTTAGTTTTTAAAGGCAATCAGATTTTCCCTTGTAGAAAGACAAAAATATAAGTTTCCATCATGTACTTCAGTTTAGTGTCCTTCCATGTTTCTATCTATTACTATTCAAGAGAAAATAAATTGTTCAAGGCTTTTCCATGAGACTTGTTAATAATGAAATTGGAGTGTATTTCATGCCCTCTATCATACATTAAATCACTCTCAAGGTCTACGCAAGAAACAATGCAGCTTATTAGTTGGGTTACTTTTCCTCTGAACTTCACTGAGAAGAGCATTGCTACTTACGTCTGGCTCGAGCTGGCTGGTCGAGCACCTGACTGAGGATACTGTGTTTCATGTCATCCATCTGTCTTGCCTTCTCCATCTGCTCCTCTTGGGATGGGCCTCCACCCCCACCCCCACCGCCACGGCCCTGCTGCAATTATATTTATATCAACATTGAAAGTAACATGTTTACATATAATTACCGAACTCATAAACACATTACCCTATTTTTTATAAATCTTCAAACTGCATGCCAAAAAATTGTTTTATTTAAGTGTCAAAGGATGAACGAAGAGTCAAGGCGATATCTCCACCAAGCTCCCAGATTTCCTTGTATTGATCTTGGAAACATCAGAACTGACCAGTCACAACTGATACTGACCAGATATATGAAGCTTGATGTTTCCAACTCTAAATCATTCAACTTTGGGGTATATATATAGAGCATGATGGGCAGTCTTGTGACACGATGGCCTTGACCTTCGGTCATTTGACTCCTTGTTTAATTCTGATCAACTTTAATTCATCATGTCATATCAAAATGCTCATCAGTGAAAAGATGCAAAATTTGACCTGGACCTTTGAACCTTGACCTTTGACCTTTACTTTTTATAACCTCAGTGTGTATTTTTGTGAACTGAACATCTTGACCAAGTTTCATGTAAATCGGTCAATTAATACTGAAGTTATCAGCCAGGAACAAAATTTGTGGAAGGACGGACAGACAGACAGACAGACAGACGAACAGACAGAGTGATTACTATAGGGCACGTGCACCTGTATCTCCGATAAGGGGCCCTAATAAATCGGGATACATATCGCAATATGTTCATTCTGTATTGTAATATGTGATACACTCTTGGCGTATTGTGACACACCTATGATATATATACCTAGCAAAGTCATTGCTGACTGTAGTAGACAAACATTAATTAGTTCAATGTCTCAAATTATCTTACTTAAGTGTCAAAGGATGAACGAAGAGTCAAGGCGATATCTCCACCAAGCTCCCAGATTTCCTTGTTTGATCTTGGAAACATCAGAACTGACCAGTCATAACTGATACTAATCAGATATAAAGTTTGACATTTCCATCTCTGAATGTGTTCACCTTGAGGTGTTTAGAGGGTTTTACTCCAGGGGTACCAGATTAAAACTAGTTCAATATCTCAAATTCAAATTACTTACTGAAACTTAATTAATGTAAAGGACAAACAAAGGTTTCTGTGCATCATGTTTCCTGATCTTGTTTATGAATATAAAGTTAAGATGTAACAATGAACAATGATACTAAACCATGACAGTACATGTACTAGCAAAATATCTTAAATACAGCTCGAACAAATTATTTTACTGAAGTGTCAAAAGATGAACGAAGAGTCAAGGCGATATCTCCACCAAGCTCCCAGATTTCCTTGTATTGATCTTGGAAACATCAGAACTGACCAGTCACAACTGATACTGACCAGATATATGAAACTTGATGTTTCCAACTCTAAATCATTCAACTTTGGGGTATATATATAGAGCATGATGGGCAGTCTTGTGTAAAATCATAATCAATAATCGATTTGTGAATGGAAGCAACAAACTGATGGATAATTGATTGCAAAATTAGTTTATAAATTTATGGGACTGAATCGAAACATCCACAACACTATTGTAACAACAATAGACACTGCGTACATCTTAATTACATGTAGGTTTCCTTTTTTCTACAACCAACTTTCATGCAGTTTTTAGTGTTTTTTTCCAACATTGGTTATACAAAACAATCCTAATGCAAACTCATGAGTGACATATTACTATGTTTTATGTTCATTTGACCCTTGAGTTCAGTGATGTTCATCTGATTATTAGAATCAGCAATGGCAGATTAAACTGACAAATGTTCAATTATAGTTGCTTTATATCACCAGAATAGAGGGTTAATGTTTATACTCATGGGGGACTGGATAAACACCTGAGTATCTGTGAGTCAGACATGACAGAAGAGTGAATGTGCTACATGTACGCCTAGCCCTACCATGATTCATTATCTTGTAGACAAAAATATTTGAGAAACTTTTCCAACTAACAAATCTAAATGATCGATTACATATTGTGCACAATAATATTGTCTCCATCAACAGAACTTCATAACATTTTTTTATAAACACACCTTATGGGTGCTGAGAGTCAACAAAATATAACAAATATTCCATAACAGTCTGCAGCAACGCTAGCTAGTCTATTATTTTTGTCCCTTTCTATGACAATTCAAAATCTCCTATATATATATATTAGGGCTGTCACAATATATCCAAAAACAGGTATATCGTATTGTACCACAATACAGAGATGAAATATTGCTGTATCGCAATAATTTAAAAAAGCTTATTTTTATGTATCTCATTCTGCTTGATAATTTAACTTGGCAATTAAGTTACTACAAATTCTAACAGATAATATCATGAGATAAATGTATGCCACATAAAACAGGCTTTTAATAGTTGTGGGAATTAGTTCAAATTTTGTAATCGATAGTTGGTTTGACAAAAATCTTAAATCTATGTGATCCATATTATATATGATTAAGTTTGATAACATTCTGACAACAACTTATCATAGTCAACTTACTTTCCTATGACAATATATCGGGATACGTATCGCAATATGTTCATTCTGTATTGCAATATATATATTGCGATACACTCTTGGCGTATTGTGACACCCCTATGATATATACTAGCAAAGTGATTGCTGACTGTAGAAGACAAACATTAATTAGTTCAATGTCTCAAATTATCTTACTTAAGTGTCAAAGGATGAACGAAGAGTCAAGGCGATATCTCCACCAAGCTCCCAGATTTCCTTGTATTGATCTTGGAAACATCAGAACTGATTAGTCACAACTAATACTAACCAGATATTAAGCTTGACCTTTCCATTGTTAAACATATTTATATAAGGGTAGTCTAGCTCTCTTATCTAGTTAAAAACATACTAAAACGAACCCATACTAAAACGCAGGGGTTTAACTTTGGGGGTTGATACGCTGAGGAAACAAAACTCTTATAACCTAACAGTTATATAGTATGTTTATATGTATACCATTTACCAATTTTCACATGTTTCAAAGAGTTTACTTGTTTGGTCAATATTAATGTTCATTGATGAAATTATATAGACCAATCATATTTGTTTGGTCAATATTTATTATGAATTTATGTTGTCTAATCATATCTATCCTTTGAAACTTGTAAATTGCTACTGGTTTATCCCCCAAATTGACTCATGCTGACTTTCCTTTGTAGACGACCATTGGAAGAAAATTGTTGTTTTCTATGAATATTCTTTTAATGTGTGTGCGATTAATAATAAGGATTATTGTTTTTCCATATTATTCCCAACAAGTGATTGGCCAGGAGTGTATCATGTGTCCACCATTAAAAATCGATATTGACTTAGAGCGCTTGATTTTCGTTGAAGGACTGAGCTGGGTGTTTCTTAAAATAGAATTATGACGTGTCTCCAAACAATGCACTGTCCCGCTTCAGAAGTTTTTTTGTTGTGTTTTTTTTCAGATTGCTTACATAACTGTTTTGAAAATAATAAAACAATTGTAGCCTTTAACTTCGGTAGATCGTCCTCAGTCAATATATCTTTTCTTGGGTCGATACATCCAGGTAACGACCTCAGCCAAAGGCGATAATTGAATAATGCTGTATTTCTCAGTTAAAATATAAATAAGTGACATTGCTGTATTAATTGGTGCTCTAAATTTCATGCAGTTTTACCTTTTTTCATTGGAATTTTCTGTGGCCAATAATTATAGCAGTATTAGATACATTTCTAAATAATATCTGTATCTGTGGGTATATGGCGCAGGGTCCCTCAGGACATGTATCGCGTCGGGGGAGGAGTGCCAGGTAATCTAGTAGTTCTGAAGGGTGAGGGTTCCTTTGAAACTCTCCACCGTGGTACTCTGCGTGGAGATGTCGGTCAGATGGTTCCAGTCAGTAGTAGTCTTATTGAAGAAAGAGTTTTTAAATTATTCTGTTTTACAATTCTGGACTATGAAACTAGTTATTGTAGGTGTAATTTTCAACAGTATTATTATAATGATAGTTACTAAAATCCCGCGGACGAATCTTCCGGCAACTTGTGTCAGGCACCACACCCTCAACCACTCTATAGAACATAACCAGGAGAAGCATAGGACGTCGTTCTACTCGTGGGGACAGGCTTGCGTCTCTTAACATTTTGGTCACACATCCTTCCTCTTGTGAACGAAAGTCTCGGTAGATAACCCTTGCTGACCTCCTTTGCACTTGCTCAAGTCTGTTTATGTCTTGATGTACATAGGGGTCCCAGACGACTGATCCGTACTCAAGGATGGACCTAACAAGGCATAAGTAGGCTGTTCTACGAAATTCAGTTGGGCAATGTTTGAGGTTTCTGTTGACAAAACTGAGCGAGCAATTCACTTTCTTGACAGTTTTGTTGATGAAGGAGTTCCATTTCAGATTATCAGATATGGTGATACCATGGTAATCAATGATCGATTAAATTTTCGATTGTCTTTCCAGTCAGTCAATAAACTTACCAATGTAGTAAACTGTAATATCATGTGTTTGCTTGTTATTTTATTGATATTAATGGTATAATCCATCAATCAAAGTTAGGAAACTACATGTAGTTGATTTATGTCATATTTTATTAACAACAATTTTTTTTTTAATGATAACAAAATTTGCAAGTTAACTTAAAAAAGAGGGAACTCGAGGAATGTATAGCGAAACTGGACTGGGTCAATCGTTGGCAACCAGCTAGTAGCTCAAGGTAGAGTATCTGTCTAGAGTTTGGAGGGTCCCTTAATTGTTTGAATCCCTGTCTGGTTGTTGCTTTTCCCGTTACAAGATTGGTGAGCTTGCAGTCAACCCTTGTTTTAAGCACTAGATGAATGCTTAGCAAGGGGATATCTGAACTTGTGAGGTAAATAGTTGTCTTCGGGGGCAAACCGTAAAAAAAAGAGGGAGGAATGTAGCGGAATTGGACTTGGTCGATCGTTGGCGATCAGGTAGCTCAATTGGTAGAGCTTCCTTCCAGAGTTTGGAGCCGAGGGTTCCGGCTTCTAACCCTAGTCTGGCTGTTGCATTTCTCTTTCTTCTTTTAAATACATTTATATCAAATGACTTGATATGCTGCTGTTCCCATTCCTGACAATTTGTGTGAGACCGAGATTCAACCTGATTCACAGAGCCTTGTGGAAATTGGTTTGGGAAATATGGTTCGGTTTATTAGAAAGGGTGTTGTATTGTAGGCCTTTATACAAATGTATGTTATAGGCCTAATTGTCAACAAAAAAAGGGTGTGATTCAGTAATTCACGCACGTGTGGGCCGTGACGTAATTCCTGTAGGAACTCGTACGGTGCACAGGGTCGGGGCTTGTATAGACTTACATGATCAAATTAGCTTGAAATACCTACTGTATAGACTTATATGATAAAATTAGCTTGAAATACCTATATATATATAAAGGTATTTCAAGCTAATTTTATCATATACAAGTCTACAGTATACAAGCCCCTGTGGCCGGTGTGTGTCGAGCAAATACAAATGTTCAATACCTATACTCGAGAAATTAAAACTACGTTGACGAAAAAGAAAATTTCCATTGATGTATATAAATACGTAAAAGTAAACAAACCCCAAATTGGGACTGCATCTCTGCCATGCGGCGGGCACGAATACTTTCCAAATCGTCGCCTTCCATTTCTGTTTTTGGTATTTTGTGTGGAGTTCCGGTGAAAGTAATTTACGAACCAATGATCTAAAAATATCCAGATGATGCACGGACACAACAGATAATATGTTAGAATACTTGTTTCAACATTACTTAAAACAATTGCATTTTCTAAACTGAATGATGCTGGTTTGTTTGGAAGTAATATTTACGTTACACAAATTTATAAATTGTTCAGACATACGGTATTTATACTGTATCCGGTCCGGAGCATTTCCGGTTTGGTATGTTAGATTGCAACACGAAATGACAACAATATGAACATGGCGAGCGGGGAAGCACATGGTGGAGTTGGTAACGTTTTAGGGAATTTCAAAGATAATCTCGAACTTGTCATCACACAGATTAAAGGTAATATGACATAGGTGTTACGTAGTGGCGATTCCATCGTGTTTAGTTCGAATGTAACATCAAACACGTGCAATTGATCAAGACGGACACAGATGCTGGACACTCTGGATATACATGATACTCCAACATGTGTTAAAGATTTATACGACGAGATACTTTTGACAGGCGCCGTGTCGCAGTCGGCAAATTCATATCCAATAGAAAAAAGGCCGACAAGCGGCCTCTTATGTTATAAATATACCTGATAGTATGTGTAACATGTTAACTTACTAAAGTTAAAATGAATACTATACAGTTATAATATAGTGTTTGTTATATGAATGTGTTCAGCATCTGTGAGCAAATTTAAGGCATCTACATCTGGTATGTAGATCACTATTCATTCTTGTCAGAGGTTCAGTTTCTGGCTTTTGAGTATATGTAAATTGTAATAGCTTTGGTTTATAATGTGAAGTTAGGGTGTTTGCGGTATTGGAAGAACCAAGCGAAGTCTTAAAATTCAGTTGTGCATCTTAATATTCAGTGCATTGTTAAAAAGGGAACTGGAAAAGTCCCTAAAATATAAATAAGAAAAACCTATTACAAATAATTCCTATTTAAGCACGCCTAGAAAAATGGTGGGAATTGGTCACAAATTCAAACTACATTTTGTATGTACACAACGTGTACTGATCTACGTTAAGTTGTATCAATCACAAAATTACAATCCTGTCATATTTAACACCAGTAAGTATGACAAATACTATTCAAATTACATTTACAATTTACGTTGCAATTAAACTGACTGTCTTTTGTCTATCATAAAAGTAAAATATGGCCATGACGACATCTTATGAACAAAGAGGTTATCGTGATGAAATTAATGAAGGAAAAATATATACTAGAAACTTCAATTAAATAAATTATGCATGAACTTGCTTACTCTGCATGTGGTGCTGAGGACATAGAAAAATGTAGCAGTCTTTAAGATGATCCAGTCTTTTTAAACAAAATATTTCTGAAGAGATGGAGAATTGATCTGATGCCTTCAAATTATAGAGCTATAGTGATCGCGAAGTAAAGATAGACAGAGAGAATAAAGCGGGAAAGCAAAAGACAATGCCTTGCGCATGTCTGAGGTCAATGTCCAGTGACATCAATGGTCAATTACAGACAATATACAGTCCCACATATATACAAATCCGGGCCTACTGTGGATATGCTGCATTACACATACAAAATGTATGTTGAAAATGAAAGTACAAAATGCAAAACCGGTCACGTTACGGATTTTCCGGAATCCGCACACAATATGAAGATAAGTAAACACAAATTATTTGTTGATGCAGCTACCACTTCTACAAATAAAATACATCACATTTAAATCTGACAAATATTTAGCAGGGTGCCACATATTCCCCTTGGTTCGGGTAATCTCGTCAAATATTACATACAGTACATGTTATTAAAACAAATCTATACTTAATCAGCAAATAATAGCAACACTTATCCGTTTCTATACACATTCTAAAACCTTATAAAAATTGAAGGTACCGAGGTATAAAAAAAAGTATCACATCCTCAATTTTCATGAGATTTTAGAATGTATATAAACATGTGTAAACAGGAGAAAGAGACCTGCATATCTAGATTGAGGGTGGTGGTAGAGCAGGCGATTGGGAAGTCTGGGATTGCGGGTGGGGGTAGAGCAGGCGATTGGGAAGTCTGGGCTTGCGGGTGGTGGTAGAGCAGGCGCTTGGGAAGTCTGGGATTGCGGGTGGTTGTAGAGCAGGCGATTGGGAAGTCTTGGATTGCGGGTGGTGGTAGAGCACGCGATTGGGAAGTCTGGGATTGCAGGGGGGGGTAGAGCAGGCGTTCGGGAAGTCTGGGATTGCGGGTGGTGGTAGAGCATGCGATTGGGAAGTCTAGGATTGCGGGTGGTGGTAGAGCAGGCGATTGGGAAGTCTGGGATTAGGGGGGGTGGTAGAGCAGGCGTTTGGGAAGTCTGGGATTGCGGGTGGTTGGAGAGCAGGCGATTGGGAAGTCTGGGATTGCAGGTGGGGGTAGAGCAGGCGTTCGGGAAGTCTGGGATTGCGGGTGGGGGGAGAGCAGGCGATTGGGAAGTCTGGGATTGCAGGTGGGGGTAGAGCAGGCGTTCGGGAAGTCTGGGATTGCGGGTGGTGGTAGAGCATGCGATTGGGATGTCTAGGATTGCGGGTGGTGGTAGAGCAGGCGATTGGGAAGTCTGGGATTGCGGGTGCGATTGGGAAGTCTGGGTACATGTTATATATGTACAAGTTAGACAATGTTAGAAATTTTTGACCTTTGAACCTTTTTTTTTCACTTTTGATTATACGATTTTGTACGAATAACTTAAATGATAAATTGATGTTATCAAACTTTTATATTATTTAGGAGGTGAAACTGAACGTGAATCTAATGATGATTTTGATGCCAAGCAGAATGAATACTGGACAAAAGTTGGTAAGATCGGAAGTGAAAGTATTCATTTCATACAATCACTGACTTAGATAGCAATAATCTAATTATGTGATGTAATTGTTTGTTTATATTGCTTTTACTTTGTTAAGTACATGATGCTATTGTTAACATAGAGAAACTGTACTGTATCCAAATATACAAGGTCTCACAGTAAGTATTATGAAGTTAGTGTACATATGTATGTAGATAGCCAATACAACAGCATATTTAGCAGGAATTGTTGAGAGAAATGTGTTTGAATTTTGTCGATTGAGTAAATTTTGTTATTTCAACCTATGAAACCTTACCTAACTTATTATTGGATTTTTTAGTGTCCAGCTGTCTAAATTATTGTCCTAAACACTATCTTTACTAATAGGGGAGATAATTTTGATTGCTGGGAGATACCTTTACGTGTAATGATTCACTTATACATGTAGTTCAAATAATCTATCTAACATTTTCTACCTTTCAGGCTCAGTGTTCAAGTCTTTATCCCATGAGGCAACCAAACTGTCGTTAGCATTTTCATCCCCGCCTCTGCCAGACCCAAAGGTAGGTAGTGTTTTCATCCCCACCTCTGCCAGACCCAAAGGTAGGTAGTGTTTTCAAAAGATTTGCCCAGTGTATTAGTTTTAAAAGCTATTCACCTTAAAGCTTCCTCATTCACACATATAGACAGGGGTTTGATTCCTGGTTTTAGCGTGGAAATATTAGAGCTAATATTTCCAGGCTCAAACCAGAAATATCTCTCCTACCCACCATAGACGTCTATAAGGCCTACTGAACCTGGCTACCAGCAAAGTTCCTCCAATAGACTTGGATGTGTTTAAACCCTGTGGCTTGACATGTATTAGAAACCCCTTTAGTCCTGTAGAAATCAGAGTCAGGCTAGGCTATATACAGGTGTTAATGGTGACACTCATTGTACTAGTGAATAACCTAACCAGGTTGAGTAAAATTAAGTACGTAAACAAATGAGTTTGTAATTCTGTTAACTAACTGACATAAAAGTGACTTGTACTGACAGTTTATACCCAAATAAAAATGTCCACAATGATGACACGTATCAACACAAACATAATAACGAATTACAATATTTTTGATCACACAGACATGTAAATCCCTGGTGGACATGTGTGAGAGAGCCACATTGGGCCTGGTCTCCCTGTTCTACAGCCTTCCCAAATCACAGGGTGAGTATACCGTACACTGGTCTCCCCGTTCTACAGCCTTCCCAAATCACAGGGTGAGTATACCGTACACTGGTCTCCCCGTTCTACAGCCTTCCCAAATCACAGGGTGAGTATACCGTACACTGGTCTCCCCGTTCTACAGCCTTCCCAAATCACAGGGTGAGTATACCGTACACTGGTCTCCCCGTTCTACAGCCTTCCCAAATCACAGGGTGAGTATACCGTACACTGGTCTCCCCGTTCTACAGCCTTCCCAAATCACAGGGTGAGTATACCGTACACTGGTCTCCCCGTTCTACAGCCTTCCCAAATCACAGGGTGAGTATACCGTACACTGGTCTCCCCGTTCTACAGCCTTCCCAAATCACAGGGTGAGTATACCGTACACTAGTCTCCCTGTTCTACAGCCTTCCCAAAACACAGGGTGAGTATACCGTACACTGGTCTCCCTGTTCTACAGCCTTCCCAAATCACAGGGTGAGTATACCGTACACTGGTCTCCCTGTTCTACAGCCTTCCCAAATCACAGGGTGAGTATACCGTACACTGGTCTCCCTGTTCTACAGCCTTCCCAAATCACAGGGTGAGTATACCGTACACTGGTCTCCCTGTTCTACAGCCTTCCCAAATCACAGGGTGAGTATACCGTACACTGGTCTCCCTGTTCTACAGCCTTCCCAAATCACAGGGTGAGTATACCGTACACTGGTCTCCCTGTTCTACAGCCTTCCCAAATCACAGGGTGAGTATACCGTACACTGGTCTCCCTGTTCTACAGCCTTCCCAAATCACAGGGTGAGTATACCGTACACTGGTCTCCCTGTTCTACAGCCTTCCCAAATCACAGGGTGAGTATACCGTACACTGGTCTCCCTGTTCTACAGCCTTCCCAAATCACAGGGTGAGTATACCGTACACTGGTCTCCCTGTTCTACAGCCTTCCCAAATCACAGGGTGAGTATACCGTACACTGGTCTCCCTGTTCTACAGCCTTCCCAAATCACAGGGTGAGTATACCGTACACTGGTCTCCCTGTTCTACAGCCTTCCCAAATCACAGGGTGAGTATACCGTACACTGGTCTCCCTGTTCTACAGCCTTCCCAAATCACAGGGTGAGTATACCGTACACTGGTCTCCCTGTTCTACAGCCTTCCCAAATCACAGGGTGAGTATACCGTACACTGGTCTCCCTGTTCTACAGCCTTCCCAAATCACAGGGTGAGTATACCGTACACTGGTCTCCCTGTTCTACAGCCTTCCCAAATCACAGGGTGAGTATACCGTACACTGGTCTCCCTGTTCTACAGCCTTCCCAAATCACAGGGTGAGTATACCGTACACTGGTCTCCCTGTTCTACAGCCTTCCCAAATCACAGGGTGAGTATACCGTACACTGGTCTCCCTGTTCTACAGCCTTCCCAAATCACAGGGTGAGTATACCGTACACTGGTCTCCCTGTTCTACAGCCTTCCCAAATCACAGGGTGAGTATACCGTACACTGGTCTCCCTGTTCTACAGCCTTCCCAAATCACAGGGTGAGTATACCGTACACTGGTCTCCCTGTTCTACAGCCTTCCCAAATCACAGGGTGAGTATACCGTACACTGGTCTCCCTGTTCTACAGCCTTCCCAAATCACAGGGTGAGTATACCGTACACTGGTCTCCCTGTTCTACAGCCTTCCCAAATCACAGGGTGAGTATACCGTACACTGGTCTCCCTGTTCTACAGCCTTCCCAAATCACAGGGTGAGTATACCGTACACTGGTCTCCCTGTTCTACAGCCTTCCCAAATTACTGGGTGAGTATACTGTACACTGGTCTCCCTGTTCTACAGCCTTCCCAAATCACAGGGTGAGTAAACAGTACACTGGTCTCCCTGTTCTGCAGCCTTCCCAAATCACAGGGTGAGTATACCGCACAATGTAGAATACTTTCTCAGGTTTTACCCAGTAGTGATTTTGTATAAACATGGAATTCATGTTGAATATTTACTCTGGTGATCACATGATAAACATCAAGAGCCATTGAGAAATGAAGATCATCTGTCTATTATTGTTTTAATATCAATATATTTTACAGTTCTAAGAGATTCCTTTCACCAAGCCATCACTAAACATGTTGAACAAAACTCTATACAGCCTGACCAGCTGTCTAGTAATGATGATGATCTGAGATGATTCTCAAGTCTTTTGTGTTCCTCTACAGGACTGTGCCTGAGGAAATCTCTCAAGTCGGCCGTGCTCAGTGTGTTACAAGACTTACAGAGTTTGATATCTGTTCTGCATAATGATGGTGCTGGGTAGGTACATATGTACAGTATTCCTACTTAAAGATTTGTTTAAATGTCTTGTTGATCTCCGGATCTTATAAAAAAAAAAGAAAAACCATTCTGTAGGTCAAGACTGAATTGATATATGTTTGCGTAGGTCTCCAGAACAACTACAGTCGACTGGCATGGTGTGGCAAGACAGGTTTTCCAATCTTCCTAAAGGTATGTCAATCCACCCTGTTATATAAAATGAAATTAAACGTGGTATATAATGACCTCTTATTTCACATTGATATGGAATTTTGTACTATTTATGTATGTGTTAAATATGGTGAACCTGTGAATTATTTCAGATAACAAACAAGCAGTGTTGGAGCTGATGAAGGTAGCATCTGAGTTGGTGAAGGATGCCCTAAGTGAAATGGAAGAAGTGAGTTGATTTATTTGTCTCCTTTAAACCTGAATCATAATATGACTTTAAGATTATCAGAATTCAGAAGATATCTTGAAACTGTGTACAAAGATATTTATTCTGCATGTAGATATAAATAGGTAGAAATTCGTAAATTTCAGCAAAATCCTTTTTTTATATGCACGCTTATTATGTTATAGCTGTCTGTCTGTCTGTCTGTCTGTCCTTCCTTGTTTGTTTGTGTAACCTTGTGACTGCAACTAGACCTTCAGATTTCAACAAAATCTTTGGATTTGGTGTGTATGACGAGAGTATAATGCAGATAAAGATTATCAAATTGTAAAATGGGTTGCTGTGGTAAATTGTACAAAAGTTATGGCCCTTTGTTGCATTATTCATGAAACACAATTGAACCTACCTAATACATATTACAAAATTAACATTTTGGCAGATATTCCAAATATCTAAATCAGTTATTAGGAAAGAAAAAGAGCCTCGCCTTATTCCTTACTCCTGAGGTAAATATTTTTTTTCTGATTTCAAATACATCAAAAACACCTCAACTTTTCCGAGAAGTTTAGTACAAATATGGTAACATTTATTTAGATCTTTTGATATATGTTTCAATAATTCATCCAAAGGGTTTCTTTCAATGATACTTTGCACTTGATATTGTAAATAAAAGCAGTTCCTGTGAAATTCCATTTCAAAATTGTAACCTTGTAGTTCAAATATTATAATATGTATTGCTCTTGTTAATTGATATGAGGATATAACATTTTGTAAGGATTACAATTCAGTATGTTAAAAATGTGATTTTATGTGTGGAAATTCTTCATGCAAATTTCCACTACAAAATTAAGCCTACAGAAAACAATTAATAGAGATTAATCAGGTAAATACTTAATATGTTATTAATTTGTTGTTCTCTTTTTGAAAGCCTATAATGGGACAGATACAGAAAAGTGGGATGGGCCTAATTGTATGTATGTCAATATAAAACATTTTGTTCTCTTCATCAGGCTGTGGAGAACGGACCAGCAAATGATCTGGCAGAGGTGTTCGGGTCAGAAATGGATGAACCCTCCAATGAGGATACATGGTCGGAGACTGATCAGACGTTACTAGGTCCATGTCTAGGCCTCCTGAAGACAACACGATCGCTACTGAAGAAGTCACATGAGAGTGTCAGTAAGAGGTCTACATGTCACAGTGAAGAACAGGTGTCACAGTTGGATGACTTGGCAGATTTTGTTGGGCGCCTCAGTCCAGCGGTGGATGAGTTCGCTGCTAGTCTCTATCCCCCTATGAAATACTCAACTGTATATGAAAACGTAAGTTTCAAGATTTTGGAAATTTAGCTTTTTGATGTTTGTCATATCATTGTATTGATAATTTATCTTATTTGTGTTATTTATAATAATATTTAATGAATGTGAATCTCCTATATATTGGAAAGGGAAGGTTTGATACATGGAATAAGTTGTTCAAGAATTGGTCAATTAACAGTTGTATCTTATTACAAGCATTTCATATAACTTTATAATATAATTAGGTCCCCTCTGACTCCCAAGATACATGTATTGCGTCATATATTGTGCCAGCAGATTTCTGGAATAAAATGATAGTGATGTGACTGAATTAGGGAAATTACACCATGAGATTCACATTGAAAGTATAGTAGATGTATTTATTAGGTCACCTGAGCTTTGCTCAAGTGACCTATTCCAATCACTTCCCGTCCGTCGTCGTCCGTCGTGCGTAAACTTTTTACAATATTAACTTCTTTTCAAGAACCAGTGGATGGAATTTTTTCAAACTTGGTCAGAATCATTCTTGGTAGATGAGGCTACCAAATTGTAAAATTGGGATTCCTACCCCAACCCTAGGGGCCAGGGCGGGGCCCAAAAGGGAAAATTAGCCAATATTTCAAAAATCTTCTTCTCCAGACTCAGAGGTATTACAGTCATTTTTTCTGCATGGATGGATCATCAGGGGTTTTATTTAAATTGTAAATTTCAGGACCCCCGAGCTATCTGTTCTCCCTAGGGGAGGGGGTAAAGTTTACTATAGTTTATATAGGGAAACAACACTTTTGGGTATATTTTGACAATTTTCTGTTGGAAATTATTTTTACTTGGTGAGAAATTATCCTTGGAGGAGGAAGATGGTTTTAAATTGTAAAATTGGGATTTCAAGAATCTTCTTCTCCAGACTCAGAGGTATAACAGTCATTTTCTCTGCATGGATGGAAAGCTCATCAGGGGCTTTATTTAAATTGTAAATTTCAGGACCCCCGAGGTATCCGTTCTCCCTTGGGGAGGGGGTAAAGTTTACTATAGTTTATATAGAGAAACAACACTTTTGGGTATATTTTGACAATTTTCTGTTGGAAATTATTCTTACTTGATGAGAATTATCCTTGGAGGACGAAGATGGTTTTAAATTGTAAAATTGGGATTCCTACCCCAACCCTAGGGGCCAGGGCGGGGCCCAAAAGGGAAAATTAGCCAATATTTCAAAAATCTTATTCTCCAGACTCAGAGTCCTATACTACAGTCATTTTCTCTGCATGGATGGAAAGGTCATCAGGGGCTTTATTTAAATTGTAAATTTCAGGACCCCGAGCTATCCGTTCTCCCTTGAGGAGGGGGTAATGTTTACTATAGTTTATATAGGGAAATGACAAGTATTGTATTTCACTTAGTTTACATGCTGATTTCCACATCACATCTTAACAATAAAATAAAGCTACCAGCTGTACCTATGATATAATTCAGGTGACTGCTAAGGCCCTTGGGCCTCTTGTTATTCTTTCGTCAACTTCCTGGATTATAATGATATTAAAATGACTAAAATAGGCCATTGACAACATGAGATTCACATTGAAGGTATGATTGATGTATTTTCTAAACTTTCACAATATTCAAGCAAAAAACGTAGGACTTTTGAAGACTTTTGTTGTTGGTAGTGATGCACTATGATGTGAGGACTAGATTTATCTTTCCTGTACTGGTAGTATTAATTCATTGATAACCAATTTTAAAGTTAAAACGAGGATGATATGTAATAAATACAGTATGCTTTGATAATATGAAAAAATGCATATGCATTAAATGTAATTGTCTGAATTTCCATACTAACATCACTACCATCTATGCACACAATTCCTGAATATCAATAACGACATGGTATATCTTCCATCTACTGTACCGAGTGTTGGAGGAGATTTGGACGGTATATCTTCCATCTACTGTACCAAGAGTTGGACGGGATTTGGACGGAATATCTTCCATCTACTGTACCAAGCGTTGGAAAGGATTTGGACGGGATATCTTCCATCTACCGTACCAAGAGTTGGAGGGGATTTGGTCGGTATATCTTCCATCTACAGTACCAAGAGTTGGACGGGATTTGGGCGGTATATCTTCCATCTACAGTACCAAGAGTTGGACGGGAGTTGGACGGTATATCTTCCATCTACAGTACCAAGAGTTGGACGGGATTTGGACGGTATATCTTCCATCTACTGTACCAAGAGTTGGACGGGATTTGGACGGTATATCTTCCATCTACTGTACCAAGAGTTGGAAAGGATTTGGACGGTATATCTTCCATCTACCGTACCAAGAGTTGGAGGGGATTTGGACGGTATATCTTCCATCTACTGTACCGAGAGTTGGAGGGGATTTGGAAGGTATATCTTCCATCTACTGTACCAAGAGTTGGAGGGGATTTGGACGGTATATCTTCCATCTACTGTAC